TTTGCCTGAAACTCTCAGACTGAAGAAGTCTCTTGGAGAAGAGACGAAATGTTTCATTAAAGAAGAACCCGTCCAGAAGACCTATACAATTTTTTTCTTTTTGTTTTTTTTTTTAACCTGGATTACTGAGATGCATCAGGACATTATTATTTATGTTACTTGATTAAAGAATCCTAAAATCTGATCTGGCATGTTGCCACATGGGAACAATTTAAGCTGCCTCCTGGAATAAGGCTATCAGATGTGTGTGTTTGTGTAAAACAGTCTCTGTGTATTTCAGATGTGGCTTTTTTCAGTCTCCTCATGGCTGCATTTGAAGGTATGAGAACACACACCTCTCATACACACACAGAATACTTAAATAAACAAACAAAGCAAGGCTTTAAAGAATGATTACTGTTCCTACAGGGCCCATTGTGGATGTGTGGCCTTCACAATCAGAAGTCTACCTTGGAGAGTCTGTGTTTCTTCAGTGCAGACTAGAGTCTAATTTCAGTTCTGCATGGACCTACAGGTGGTACAGGAACAACACAAACACCACTCTGACCCTGAACCCCAGGCATTCAGTCTGTGGTGACAGCTACTCCATCACGGCTGTAACAAGTCAGGATGCAGGCAGCTACTGGTGCAGAGCAGAGCAGAGGGAGAGGAACATCACCACTGAGGTGGAAGTTCAGCTCAGAGTGTCAGGTGAGCTTCAGAATGACCTACACTACATATTAAACGTTAACACCAACCATTTACTCCTAAACATTACAAATATCTGTTCTGCTTCAGAGACATACACACACAGAACAGATTTTTTAATGTCCAAGCAGAATATGTAAAAAAAACCTTAATGTCCAATGTCATGTTTGAACACATTAATGGGTTAAATGTCATTGCTTTGGACTAGTGTAAGTTATTTTATGTAATTCATGGAGTCTAGTTTAGTTCATTTATATCAGAGTTAGTTATGGTGTTCCTCAGGGTTCTGAACTTGGACCCTGGGAGAAAAACAGAACATATGTAAAAGAAATACATCAAATATAACAACATTCCCACTGCTGTGTTGATGAAATTATTATTTATCTATGACGTCTAAGGAAGTCAATCAGATGGTAACAAGCTTGTCTTGAAGAAAAAAAATTGCAGTTTTTTAAATATGTTTTCAAATAAAACTGAAGTTCTGAGGTGATCCTGAAAAACTAATCTGAGTTTAAAAGAGATAACTCATCAGAAAACTGGTCTTCTCTTTAGATCTGACATTTCACAACATTTTTCACTGAGAGAAAACAGACATAATCAAAAACATCTTCTACCAGGCTAATGCTAAAACATACTAGGCCACACATTTGTCATGTCCATGCTGGGCTACTATAATACAGTTTCTGTAGTCCAACTAATACTGCAGTAATTCAGTTACAGTATCCATCTATTGATCCAACTTCTTCTGCTCATCCGGGGTCGGGTCATGGGGGCAGCAGCCTAAGCAGAGTGACCCAGTCTTCCTTTTCCCCATCCACTTGGGCCGCTCATCTGGGGGAACTCCAAGGCATTCCCAGGCCAGCTGAGAAACATAGTCCCTCCAGCGTGTCCTGGGTCTTCCTCTGGGTCTCCTCCCAGTGGGACATGCCCAGAACACCTCACCAGGGAGGTCTCCAGGAAGCATCCTAACCAGATGCCAGAGCCACCTCAACTGGCTCTTCTCGACGTGGAGGAGCAGCGGCTCTACTCTGAGTCCCTCCCAGATGCTCGAGATTCTCACCCTATCTCTAAGGGAGAGCCCAGACACCCTGCGGAGGAAACTCATTTCGGCCGCTTGTAACTTCGATCTTGTTCTTTTGGTCACTATGCAGAGCTCATGACCATAGATGAGGGTAGGAGCATAGATTAACTGGTAAATCGAGAGCTGAACAAAAAGCCCTAGTGTTATTTTAACACTTTCTGAGTACACTCACACCCACTGTTGGTGTTAATTCACAGTGTTGATTTCCTCAGTGTTGTCTCAACACTGGACAGTGTTAAATTAGCTCCGCCCACAGTTAAGTCTGACATAACACTTAACAGTGTAGCTATATAACACCATGCAGTGTTGAAAGAAGTTTTCTGAAAAGCCCCGCCCTCTTCCACCTCATGTCAGACAGACCAGCATTTACCCAGCATTCCTTGCTGAGAAATCTTGCAGAAATTATGTGTTTTCATGTTTATGACCATTAAAGAATTTCATGAGAGTAAAAATTAGTTGTTCTGGTTAGTTACCTTGTTCAGTTTTATCAAGTTGTTCAACTTTAAGTTTATGTTATTGGCCAAAAATTGACACTATGATTGAGAGGTATGTCCTGGTGTGTGAAGGTGACTCCATTATACTTTTCTACTCACCACTGAGCAGTGTTAATGTATCACTACAGAGTATGACATTAACTCTGAGTGTCAAATTTATACTCTCAAATTTATGGTGTATTGATACCTTGTGGTGTCTGTTAACATTTCTAACGTCACAATTTTCTTAGTTAATAATAATACACTGGTGGTACTTTCAACACTTTATTTTAACACTGTTGAATTGTTAAAATGACACCCAGTATTGTTGAATGTTTAACACTGGCTGGTGTTACTTTTAACACTATATTTTAACACTAACACTATTTTTATGTTAATGTGACACCAAGAGTTGTTGAATATTAAACACTGGTTGGTGTTAAATTAAMGAAAAAATGAGTGTTAAACTTTAACACTTTCACAAATGTTATTTTAACACCAGCGAGTGTCGACACATATAGACACTTTGTTGGTGTTGAAATTAACACTTGTGGGTGTTAAATTAACACTGGCATTTTTGCTGTGTAGAGAAAATGGTCATGGACTTCGATAAAGTAGACCATTGTTGCAGGCCCAATGTAGGGCAATGGGTAGAGCGCCGGACCAGAGAGCAGGAGAGCCAGGATTGAGACCAGGCATGGGCAGCGAGAAAACAGCAAGAAACCCCCACCCCGGACAAAAAAATTAATCAAAATATCTTTTGGTTATTTACAGATTCATTGTCATTGATATATTAATCCACTAGAGGGCACTGTCAGGACAGTCTGAAGCCATTATATGGGACTGATAACCTGCTAGAAGGCACAGTTGGGGCAGACTGAAGCCATTCTATGGGACTGATAACTGCTAATGACGTCCATTTAATGGACTGATAACATCAGAATCCACTGCCCTCACTGCTGGTGTCCACCAGAGGGTTTGAGGGTTGCCGCCACAAGAGGCTGTGCGTGTTGGACAGTGGTCGGAGGCGAGGACCTTGGCGGTCTGATCCTCGGCTACAGAAGCTGAAGAATGAGTCTGAGCTGGTCTGTGAGATTGAAATGTTCAGGGTAGACATAGTTGGACTCATATCGATGCACCCCTCCTCTAGCGGGGTCGGACACKCTTTCACTCTGGAGTTGCCCATGCTGAGAGGCGCCGAGCAGGAGTGAGCATATTTATTGCCCCCCATCTTGGTGCCTGTATGTTGGGTTTTACCCCGGTGAACTGGTAGCCTCCCTCTGCCAATGTGTGGGGAGACGAGCTCTGACTGTTGTTTGTGCTTATGTGCCTAACAACAGTTCAGATCACCCACCATTTTTGGGGTCCAGCTTACAGTATTTCAGCTAATACTACTACAGTTACAGTGGTTTAGGAAGTCCAGTTTTCATGTCAAACAACATAAACAACAGATTTATTTTTAAAAGATCACATTTTATTTTAACATTTAAGCATTTGTGCTTTCCCCTCCCCCCAGCTCTGCTCCACCCATCACTTGCTCTGACTCCCAGCAGCAGACAGGTGTTCAGTGGGGAGCGTGTCGCCGTGCAGTGTCCTGCCAGGACCAGGAACAACTCCTCCGGCTGGAAGCTGTGGCATTTCTCTCCTGAAGAGAAAAACAAAAGGCAGATGTGTGTAAACCACTCCAATGCTTGTGTTTTTGTTGCTGACCGTGCGAACAGCGGCTTGTACTGGTGTGAAGAAGCCGAAGGTCGCAGCCGTGCAATCAACATTACTGTAAGCTGTGAGTTTTTGTCTTCTAGCAAAGGTTATAAAAGCTGTAAAAATATGAGAAGATCAAAATGTTGAATATTTTTGACTCACAGATGGAAACATCATTTTAAAGACTCCAGCCTTTTCTGTCCATCACGGCGGTACAGTGGTGTTACACTGTCAGTACAGGACAGGCAACCAGAATGAAACTATCTTTTTTAAAAATGGAATAGCAATAAATACTTCAGAAACAACCTTAAATCTGACAATGGAGAAAGTGACACAGCAAGAAGAAGGTCTGTACAAGTGTGGGTCCCAGGACAGGAAGATGGAGAGCAAGGAGAGCTGGTTATCAGTGACGCTGGATGGAGGTCAGATGTTATTATTTTACTTCTTAAAGGGATCCAGGATTAGTTGTAACATTAGACTTTATTTGATAAACATTTTTTTTAACTGTAAAATAAAGACTAAAATATTGTTGGTTGTTTAGTTTTTATGATTTTTAAATATATGTTTTAACACGGACGGGGCCATTTTATTTCCACACAAAGCATTCTGGGTAAATGATGACGTGGATAGGTCCTCGGTGCGAGGCTGCTAGCGAGCTATATCC